AACTGATTTTTCCTGTCTTGTCGTAGCTCTGGATAAGTAATTTTATAGTTCTCACATGCCTGCAGCTTTTGTGAGATGGCCCTCATGTTTACCTGCTGTTTTTCTATTTAACTGTGCCTTAGTTACTTCTCGAATGGTCTTCGTGGAGCCCAGTATATTTGAGAATTATGAAGATTTAATAATTACGCATCTTCTTTTTTTCAGGTATGCCTGAGCCAATTGAAAATGGAAATGATGAAAAGGCTCAGAAAAGCGTGCAAATCGGAGATGTTCTCGACTATTGTAACTCCTCAGGTAATGTCACCTTTAGCTGGTTTAGTGGTCATTTTTCTGAATAATTTTAGATGTATTTTTCTTCTAAAGCGGTACACATTTGAAGCACTAGTTTGTATGAAACAGAGCGGCGGTAAGCAGATGTAGTCACGTCTAGCTGTGTTGTATAGTTGCTTGAAATTCCCTTTGATGTTTTGTTGGTACCCATATCAGTTCCTTTCAAGTCAGTGTTCATTATTTATGGAACAAATGCAGGTTCATCGGTGAATGAGTTGGTGAATGGAGTGTGTCCTCGAGTTTCACCGTCTCCACCTGCTTCTCGTAGGCGATTGCGAACGATGAGCGGTTCTAAAACCGAGCACCACCTCTACACCACCAAAACTGGAAGGGTGAGGAATTGATGACATGTGAAACACCATTCCCCTACATTTCCCATTTTCAGAGATTTTATTGTTAGTGATGCGCCTCCTTTTTTAGATTGCTTACAATTTCTTGCTTATAACTTCCATTCCAATGTGTTTCATTCTTTACCATTTCTCCTGAAGCTATACGTAGATGCATGAAAATACTAATAGTAATCTTGTTGACCTTTCCTTCGAGCGCATAGAATTGTAGGGATAGGGTTTTTAGGCAACGTAGGTTTCAACCCGTTTATATGGACTGTTCGATGAACTTTATTAATTGCTGCAATTTGATTACTTTAGATAATTTGCAAGTTCCAACTCCTCAGATTTAAAATGAAACTTCTCCAGTGGAACATCCAAAGATCCTTATTTCTATGAATTCTAATTTTCTTTGCCCGTACAGAGTTGAAGCTCATCTGTTTTAGAAAATCTACACAAAAGGTAGGCCGCCATGGTATGACAGTAGAGGAAACACACTCAAGCAGCCGTATGTAATAGGCATCTGTGGCGGGTTAGTTTTTCTAAAGCTGTTGCATCATTATTGATTTTCGACATTCACTGAGAGCTCCCGTTCATAATCATTCGTATTAAAGTTTATCGCTAATATATTGTAGGGATTTAAGTTTATCTTTAGGAATAGGGTAGCGTTGCATTGTTCGCACTATTCTGTTTTCAGTTCAGCCAGCGGTAAAACTACGGTAGCGGAGAAAATCATCGAAAAACTAGAGATACCATGGGTTACGATTTTAAGTATGGACAGTTTTTACAAGGTAAGATGCGGTACGATACATATAGATTTGCTTGGCAGTTTATTCTTGACATTTCATTTGTAGGTATTGAACGAGAAGGAGCACGCTTTAGCTGAGGAATCTAACTACAACTTTGATCATCCTAACGCCTTCGATTTCGATTTACTGTTTGAGGTTTTATTTGTTCCCTACAAGAGGAAATATTCGTTAAATATAAAACTTTTCCAAGGTTCTAACTCGGCTCCGTGAAGGGAAAAGTTGCGAAGTTCCAGTTTACGATTTCACTACTCATGCTCGAGATAATAATCCAAAGGTGGATTCAGAATTTGTGCGGTTCATAAGAAACTACTAGGGTGGTTTCTGAAGTTGGAGGAAAATTCGTGTCCAAATGTCAAGGGTTAAGGTGATGTACGGCGCGGACGTCTTGATTTTCGAAGGAATTCTAGCTTTCCATCGTCCTGAAATAACTGCTATGATGGACATGAAGGTATCCTAGCTTTCTGTTCGTTGACGTTACGATAATTTATTGAAACACTCCGCTTTTTAAGGTATTTGTGGACACGGATGGTGACGTACGCCTGGCTCGTCGGCTTAATCGTGATATCAACGAACGTGGTCGTGACACTGTTGGTGTGCTTGACCAATACTTTAGATTCGTTAAGGTGAGTACATTTCTTATTCATTGTTTATTGGAGAAATTAGATTACTTGAGATAAACTCTACTCAAGTGACTTGATAGTGCGGCGCTTGCAAGTATGTTGAGAAGTAGTCGCAAATGTCACCTAAATGTTTTCATCTGTAGTTTTTCTGATTTTCATTCCATCATTTTTACTCAGGTATTTTCATGCTCCTGTTCGAGTTGAACTGAAGAAATAGCAATTCCACGAAAGGAACTTTCTCTCTTATATGGCAAATGGCGCAAAAGTGGTCGCTTACGAGCTGCTGCCACATCTTGTTTGCTTTCATGTCTCCCTGCCCAAATTCATCCACCTATTTGCCTTTCATCATCCATCTCATCTGTTAACACTGTTTTTTCTCCGCCCTTTCCGGGGTCAAATCTTAGTCAGGCTGCACGGTTCTTCGAATCGAATTCGAGTTCGGAGAGGCTGAATAGAATCTGCTCATCATTCGAAAGCAGCCGTACTAGCGAAGGTTCTTATTGAACTAGGGACGATTCTCCACACTCGCAAAAATTTAGGCGACATGGGATACCCCTTCCACCTTTGTCAAGTTACCACCCCTCGTCCTTACTCAATTCTTTGCATTTTTCCCTTTCGATGTTTGCTCTCCACCTCATGCATTAATACAGTACATTGTATGTATAGTAGGATTGGAAAGAGTAGGAGCGTTCTGCATAAGTCAGTATTGTTGAGAATTGCCAGGTTTTGTAAGCTTAGCACGTATTTGTCATGTGGAGATGGATTGTTGTGGATGAAAAACCGACAACATTACAGCCGGCATTTGAAGCGTATATCGCGCCTGGAATGAAGGTCGCTGATATTATCGTACCTCGGGGTGGAGACAATGATGTGGCAATCAATCTCATTGCGAAGCAAGTGATGACCCAGCTGGTGAAGAGGGGTGAGTCATGATTGGTTGTTGTTTGCTTTCGCCCTTGTTGAGGATTCATTCCTCAGGTTATGACCAAACAGCTCATTCACAATGTCGCCATGATCTGGTGAATATGAGCCAACTTCCTGATGAACTGCCTGACAGTCTTACCATTATTAGAGAAACACCACAAGTTCGTGG